TATTATAATATTTGTTATTACTCGCTTGCTTCGGAACGCACTTAGAAACATATAGCCGTGTTCTACTAAACCCAGAATTACGTCAGTGACCTCAGTATGATATCATTGTTTGTAGATCATTATCATCATCGTATCAGTCATTAACTGTCCACTGCTGAACACAGGCCTTCCTCTATTGGGGGAATTTGGTTTACCAGAAAATGCAAAGTTTGCATTCCTATTTATTTTTAAAAGCTATTTCATATGTTAGAAAATTAATATAATAATCATCATATTAATATTTATTTATTGGTCGGCGCCATCATTGTTTATTTGAATAACTTCTTGCGCTTATTTTATTTACATAGAAAAGGCATTCCACCATTCCTTTCCGTGGGTGTCGTAAGAGGCGACTAAAAGAACTCGACGGACAGCAGCGCCAATCTTAAAACATCACTGAAAGGCTATTTGTAGTTTACAACCCACCTGCCAAGCATGCCAACTACTGGCAAATCCTTTCTAAAGGAGACCTATGTTCAGCAATGGACAGTTAACGGCTGATATGAATCAAAGAATTGTTAATTAAAGAAACATAAAATTATTAATGATTATAAGTATTTATACTTATAAAGACTATGTAGTCTTTTCAATTTATATTTAATGAACCATTTTATGAAGTTTTTTTTTATTTTTCATATCATAATAACGACCTTTTCAGACAATTTAAAAAGGCAGTTCTTGATTCTATTCTATTTTATTTTGTGTATACACTATACACAGTGTTTTCACCAATTCAAAAGAATTTATGATAAATTAATTTTATTAATTAATAAAAAGCTTTACTATGTTGATCCAAACAAAATCTCTTTTTAAGATATATAGTTTTTTTGTGAAACAAAAAGTCGTGAAACAAAAACATATAACGTGCTATTAAATCGATTTATCATCACTAGTATTCGTAGGGTTAGTACACAAAACTCTTAGAGAGTCACACAAGTTTACTTATAAATTCACTAGAGAGAAACTTTGCACAAATATCGTCCGCTTGGGTACCTCTGTCCCTGTCGGTGTTTTGTTTCTGCCGTGAAGCAGTGGTGTTTGCACGGCTGTGTTTCAGTTTGAAGGGTGGGATGCGGCAATGAAATTACAGGGTACAGAGGCAAAAAAAATTTGGAGAACCGTTGTACAAGGATAACATATTCCATGTTTTACACCTTTCAATCGCATTACAAGTGGATCCCAAAGGATGTTTTAATAAAATTGAGGGCTCCATATTTTCTTTCAGCTAGCAATATTGTTTATTCTCCCTCCATAATATTATCCTGCGATTGTAGCATTCTTGTGCGTCAATTTTCTCGATGATTTTTAAAAAGGATACTTCACACGTTCAAAATACAACTGATAAAATTTCACCATATTTTTTTATTTATAAACTAAGACAATTTACCTGAATTATTAATTCCCATTGATTAATTAATTTAATACGTTAATTCTCGTCTCATATAAAACATGCAGTGTTAAAATATAAAATTTCAAATCATCAAATTGCCAATTGGAAAAAAGAATGGAATGATTAAAACAATATACATAGCCAGTGTTTACTATGTACGCGCAAATGTAAACAAGTTGTAGAAATATTAATTAGCATAATTTCTATGTTTCATTTTCCTATCAATTTTTTTTCTTTCATTATCTTTTATTTTTATTTTTAATAGTGCGATTCTCCTATCACCATCATCTCAGCAATTGTTATATTTTTATCATTTTAGAACCCAAAATACGTTAGATTAATCTGGCCAATATAAAAAATGTGTGGTGTGAATTTTAATTGGCAACTAACTCTCCGGTGATGGAAAATACTAACAAGAAGCAGTACTAATCCGAATGACGTTAAAATGCTTGACCTTATTACGTTAGATTCAGATAATATGATCATTGAAAGTAGTACATGTCGAGCTGCACAAAAAAAGCCTTCAGAGTCATTACTGTTATGAATCACAACAGCTTTTAACTCGCTATATCCCACAGCTTCGCCCGTGGTCATATCATAAGGTTATATATAAACTTCCTTAAGAAATGAGCTATTAAATGCAAAAAGAATTGTTCAAATCCGACTGACAGTTCCAGAGGTTAGCGTGTACAAACAAACAAACAAGTACAAACAAACTCTTCGGCTTTATGAATAGATTAAACAACCTGGCTAAAACTATATTATTGTATTAAACGAGAGTCAGTGAGCTATACTAGCCTTTGGGAGCACAAAGTTGCAAACTGCATCTGCATATATTTACATATTTAAACAACAGCAAAGACCACTTTTCGTCTATAATAAGAAGTTAAAATGTTTAATGAAAATTTTTTATCGGAAACATATCACGTAATTTTGTATGTCTATTTTTGAGATATACCAGAGAGAGACTTTATACAAAAGTCCTTTGCTTGGGCACCTCTATCCCATTTGTGTTTCTACCATAAAGCATTTGTGATTGCATGGCTGTATTTTGATTTGAAGAGTGGAATATGGCAGTGAATTTACAGGGTACGGAGAAATAACACCTAAGTCCTCAGAGTATCATGGGCGAAACAGTATACTCTGTTATGTCCATGGTACTGCTCATGTCTAAAGGGAACGGTTACCACTTTCTATCAGGTGGACCGTCAGCTTGTTTGCCATTCTAAGTTAAATAAAAAAATTCTTGACGAGGTAAATATAGAAAGGACAAAGTGAAGTCTTAAATACATATGTTAATACATTAATTATTATTTATTTGATTATTTATTTCTAGAGTTCACCTCCACATCTTAGTCCGCCTCCAGCTAACGTTTAGGCTATGCAACGAGCTCCCTGTCTACGTTTTTCCAAGAGTTGACAGCTTGAGGCTCTACAAAAAAGGAGTAAAGAGGTTTCTTCAGGGACAGCAACGCGCGCGTAATGCACGTAATTTTGCAGGCGTTCATAGACTACGGTAACCGTGTACCATCAAGTGAGCCGTATGCTTGTTTGAGACCTCAATGTTTCTCTTGGAAACATTCCTGGTTAATTCTCGTAGAATTCGTCACGATGAGCTAAGTGCTTGACTTTTCATCATTACTGGTGATCCAGCATATACTCATAGTGCAAATAGGGGTTTATTTTCCATTATCGTCCATAAAAAAAATAGCAAACCAACAGTTATGTCCTGTGAACAACAAAACCATTGTACTATCATAATGTTACGTTCATTATAATGTACTAATTAACATACCTACATCAATGTTATCAGTTCTCGTTATTATTAATGGTACCATCAGAATTGAAATAACTATCTACACATATATTACACTAGCGACCAGCCCCGGTTTTGCACGAGTTCAATACTGATACTAAATAGCGTCGCCGGCCCCCCGTTACATTACAACATTACATTAGAAACCTCTAAAATTATCAGTGTTCCTCTATTATATTATTCATGTATTATACATATATACCTTCATATTGAATCACTCTACCTATTAAAAATCGTCAAAATCCGTTGCGTAGTTTTAAAGAACTAAGCATACATAGGGACAGACTGACGGGGATCAACTTTGTTTTATAATTTGTCTGTATACTATACTATGGATGTAATTTGTAAATCTATTAGATATATATTAATATTATAAAGACGTAAAATTTGTTAGTTTCGATGTTTGAGGTAATCTCCGGTACTAATGATCCGATTTTGAAAATTTTTTTATTGTTAAATAATATATTATCCCTACTTTTTATTTTGGCAAATATATATTTTCAATAACTAATCACAGTATAAGTATAAATAAATATAATTGAAGTTGTATATATATATATATATATATATATATATATATATATATATATATATATATATATATAGAAATTTTATATATATATATATATATATATATATATATATATACATATATATATATATATATAAAATTTCTTAAAGAAAAAAATTATATTTTGTCATCATCATGTATATTTTGGATCACTTTTCTTGTGACCAAATACCATAGCGACCTTTACGCTACTTTACTACTTCTTTTTTTAATTTTAATTAATCGTGATTTGCTTTCAAAGAGAGATTGAATATATACCCAACCAGGTCGACCTCCTCGCGGTTCTCTCTGGAAACTATCATGGTTAATTCCTGATAAATTCATCATAATGGGCTAACTGACCTGTTTTCATTCTCATCTATCACCCTTCACTTGTGCTCCGCGAGCATATAACGTTAGCGCAGGCGGGGCTACCATACCATTCTCACTCATCAAAAAAAAACCGGCATTAAATATAATGTATTTTGCTTTATCTTAAGGAAGGGTATAGATGTAACAATATATTGTTAAAATATCGTGACAAGATATAAACTATAAACTCGAATATATTGGTATATTAAAACTATATTTTAACCATTTCCTTCGACTATGTCCGCTATGTTAAGATAGGATACAATCTACCTGTATCACATATCATTCAAAACTCTTTAATCGTTTAAGCATAATTTAGTAACATCTAAATATCCAAATATTTTTATAAACTTTTACATTTATAATATTAATAGAATAAATATTGTTAAGAGTATACACAACGAAATTGTATTATTATGTATTATTTATACCAATCTATTATCATTATTAATAGTTCACACGTAAAATAATAAAATTAACTGAAAAAAAAATTTCATTTTATATTCGCTAAAAAAAATATTTTAAAATTCACGTAGATTTGTACCGAAAGCTAAACTTTTCATTAGTAAAATACGAGTACATGTCACAAAAAAAAAATGAAATTCGTTTGTTAAAGTCTATTTGTCTATTAAATTGCAGTTATAAGGTAATGCGTTTTTTTTTCATTACAATGAAAATACACCTACCTATTTGATACTACATTGAACACTAGATATCAAAGTAATTAATACTCGAAAGAAAATGCAAGCAACATACCACATCCACTTAATTGTTTACGAACTGTATCTAAAGCTGAAATTAAAAATAAAATTGTAATAAAATAAATCACTTACCTTTATGCAAGTTGTTTTCAAGAATCCTTTGAATCTCGCCAGCCTCTGATCCACTTTCAGATTCCGAGTACACATTATGACCGGGAAATAGTAACTTTTTCTTATTATTCGTTAATTTGTTACTTTTATCAACACTCGATGTACGGATTGGGGGCCGCGGTGGACCCTTACAAGGTCCTTTTGCTCTATCACTGAGTTTCAAAGACACCGTCGGGGAGGACTCATTCCGCGGATTTATTAACTTGTAACTGTCATTTATAATTTTAGAGTCTACACCACCACTTTTCACAGTGTCACTGGCATCAACACCACTTTTTGATAAATGCTGCTCTTCAAAACTGACCCTTTTGTTGTTGATTTGTTGATTCATGTTATTATTCTGAGAATCTCGAGCCAAAGAACCTCTATGGAAAATAGGCGCTTGTCTTTTATCTTGCGATACGATGACTGGCGAGTTAGTTCGCAAATTTAGTTTCTCCGGGTGTCGATAGACGATATCTTGGTCGATAGGAGAAGTTCGATGCCGTATAAAAGTATCTGTACGCCTCTCGGGCGCGCCTCGCGCGAATGGGGATCGCGAATAAATTGGCTGATTTAAACTATAACTACTGAACTCTTGTCCGCGAGGCAGACTGCAACTTTTAGATTCTAAAATTAAAGAATTCGGTGTGCTACAATTCGAATAAGGTACATTATATCTCGCGGAACTTCTCATAGACGACATTTGAAGTGATTGTCTCATTAAATATTCGTCTTCCTTTTGTTTTTGTTCTTTTAGTTTCTGCCAATAAAACGCTTCGACTTTTTGACGTGCTTTTTCCTTTTCAACAATGTCATCGTTTTTTGCAATATCCACATGTGATAAAGGTGATGTTTTCAATATTTCATTATAATCCTGCGGTTTAGGTGAAGGCGTCGATTTATTATGTATGCTACATCTATTTAACGAGTTTCTTTTTTCTTCGGCTTCGATCATAGTTTTTCTTACTTGTTCGTAAGGAGATACAGTTTTAGGCATATTTGGAATTTTGTGATTTATTGGCATCGGAGAAGTAGGTGCGGAATAATTATAAGCTTTTTGAACATTCATTTTCATTGAAGATGTATTATCAATTTTGTCATCATGCACCTTCTGATGTTTATCGAAGGATAAACTTCTAGCTCTCGTGGGTTGAATAGTCCGTACTTCGGCTTCTTTTTTTGGAGATATGAGGAACTTTGTGCTTACTCTTTTGATTTCCGCACCAACTGGTGTGGGATCTGTTTGTAGTCTAGATGCCCTGCATATCTCAATCTCGTCTATTGGCGATATTTTATCAGTTAATTTCTCCAATGAATGGTAATAAACATCAGGATATTGGGAAGTCCCTGACGTACCTTCTTTTATCGTAGTGCTAGCAGCTTCGTTGTGTGGTTTTCGAGGCACTTGTGGTCTAGCCGTATAACTTGCATATTCTTTTTTTTTAACATTCAATAATTCTGAATCTGTATTTAAGTAAATAGGTTTGTTTTTTACGCTATCTGAAACTAAAGTACTGCTCGATGAATGATTGCTTAGCACGTCAATGCGCTGCGAGTCGTTATCGCGTATATGTTGCTGTTGTGTCACTGCTAGATCCTCGTATATACAATCGTTATTATCTTGATTATCGACATACTTCTCTGTATTACTAATAACTGCTCGAGGATTTTGATATTTATTACTATTAGAAGAATGGTCACTTTGTGTCTTCAGACTCGTAGAATCTTTATTGGAATTTTTGTCTTTGGATTTATTTGAAAAAAGAAGAGGAAACAGTTTTCGAAAGCTACTGTTGCCTTTTTTTCTATTGGTGTTCATTTTCTTAAATTATTCAACTTCACGTTAGACGTCAACAGCAACTGCAACAAATATAAAAACTTCAAATTTAAAATATGCTTGGGTAGTTCCTTTACAAGTCTGCACCACAAAGAATACATCGACTTCAATCGCTACCAAAGTTGTTTTAAAAACAAAACTTTTGAATGTATTCTAATAAAATTTCTATGAAACTAAGCTGAAAGTAGCATATCCTTTAAAGTAAAAAAGAAAAAGAATTTTCCAATAAATAAGTTCTGACACATAAAAAGTAGAAGATACACCCAAATTAAGAACGTTCTATTTTTTTTTTAATCAGTGAAAAATTAACAACGTTGTTTATTCTTATTTTTCTATATAATCAGTACAAGTTTCTGGGTGAAGTGTAATTATGTATTCAATATTAATAGTAATGTAACAAGCATTATGTCTATATTGTAACAGAATAATATTCATTATGTCCCGCCACAGTGGCTCCAACGAACACATAAGGAACAACAAACTCAGGGGAATAATAACTATACCCTTGCGAGTATCAGTATTAATATTCTAAGCTGCTTTCATTAGGCATGCACAAACAAGGAACTTTTGTCTGCAATAGATGAAAGTCCACGTTTTATTCCCCAGGGACTTGACATGGAGTCGGGTACCTTTATTATGCATGCAATTATACGTCTTATAGTTTCACGACTAAAAGTAGGACAAAGGTTCTGTCTCGTTTGTGTAAACCTAGTAATAATCATTCTATGCGTATATAAAAGCTGAAATACTCGTAATACCAAATGACTAATCACGAAATCTTATCATAAATCGTAAAACATAATGGGTTCTTGAAATTTAGCAAATGTTACTCACATGATGTAGGTATGCAGTAAAAAAGGATTTACAAGATTTCCCGCAGGAATGGATAAAAACAAAAAAAGTCAGCATTGTCTTCTATTGTATGATATAGCGCCTTTAGATGCCCATTCAATCATAAAATTGATTCATAATATAATATGAGAAATGAATCGAGAATTCACTAACTTAAATGCACTTGATCTTCCTGTCGAGATTGTTTCTAGAGATAACAGTATGTTCTTCAAAAAGGGCATAACACATCAAATCTTAAAAAAATAAATAATTTTAATAAAGACTCTATTATATAAATAATGTGAATGAAAATTTATTCTTATGGTTCGAATCTAAGTACTATATAAGTCAATTGAGTGTGACGATCCACAGACTAAAAAAGTAACTGGTGTCAGCACAACAACCTTATCAGAGTCAGAAGAAAGTACATTCAGGAGCCTAAAATTTAAATTCTTTACTTATTCCATACTTATTGTGGAGGTGTGGCACTCTAGTGTCAGGAATTTAATTTGAATTACTGCTATTTGTGCGGACAAGAAAATTCTCTTGTAATAGGCGCTTCGTATCATTTTTCAATATTAAATATTGAGTGTTGTTGTGTTTGTAACGCATATGACGTGGCGATTAACATCATTCTTCAATAGATTAGTGCTAATTACCCAATTATTACAACTGGGAATTTCCACAGACTACCTATGGTCTATTTCAATAGGACTTAACGAAAATGTAAACAAATGAATAATTCGTTACAACCATAAACAGTCTGATGTTGTTCAATAATAGTATAAATCATAACAATAGATTTATTGATAGAATATTTAGATCCGTAATAAATTTAATTTCGAGATTTGTTACTCACATCGTTAAACAATTAACTGCAATAAAGCTTGTACATATTTTAATGCAAATAACTGAAAAATATAATCGTGGTTAATTCGTCACGATGAACTAACTGACCACTTCGGAATTTTATTTCATGGTGGTCTACCATGAAATAAAATTCCGAATTTTCGGCTCAATTTCGTGTTTTTGTTCGTACCGAAATCGACCCAGTAAATAAAGATTAACATTTCATTCGTCATAAATCCTATCCTAATAGTCCAGAGGAACGATATTTTAACATTGTTATTAATTTTAAACGGCATGTATTATGTAATTTTAACATCAAATTTCTGTTTCTTTCGTCCCCGAAATTTCGGAAAATATTTCATGGTAGGCCCTCTACATTCATCCACACCTACCATCTTCACTGAGGTCTCGCCAGGGCTATAAGTATAGGGAATATCCAGGATAGGGAAAGCTGGGTTACCATTCCATTCTCAGCTATTAAAAAAAAACATATATTCTGTTCTGATCCACATATAACTTTACGAGTATATAGAGCTGATCAGTCAAAACAATTTTAGATGTTTACAATCAAACACAATCTACTGATACCTCTATTTCCATTTCCCGTCATAAATATTTGGTTCCCCCATTACCAGATCAAAAGTTAACGGACACCAATTCACCGTTTGTTTTTAAATTCTATTGCCTCTTAATCTGATTTTCGATCGAAAGCAGGAATAAATTGATGACTGTTTACTTGATTACAATTATTTAATTTAATTCCGCTACAATTAGTATGCGTGTGGCTGCCAACACTTGAAGATTAACTACTATTATTATAACCAGATTTTCTACAGCCTTCCATAATAGCTATCAATATCCAATCACCATTCCATCCACGCACATTTTGGGACACGTGTAACACTTTTGTACAAGACATATTCAGACAAATTTATAATTTGTGCGACTAACATCATGATGATGGTGATTCAACTTGGCAGGGGAAAACGGCATGACTCCGTCCGAGGTAAAGTAATTTTTAAATATGAGGCAAGGGTAATACTAATTCTATAACCCTTTCAGACCCAAGTTTTTTTTTCTTTCAGATTAAATATATTTTCGTGTTTTGGAGCCAAGCCATCTTGCCGGCACTCACGAGACTACTGCACCACCTGACCGCTAAAATGATTTCTTATTGGTTGGTTTAGAATCTCACTATCATGTTATTTCAGCTTCGTGAGTAAAAATGAACTGCGTGCGGTTTTAAATTTTTTGAAAGTTACAACTCACGCCCGTATCGTTCAGGTCTGAAAGGGATAAATGTATATGTAAATTTGTCTTTTTATTAGTTACCTTATAGTGCTTTAACAGCTTAACCAATCAATATAAAATTTAGTATACACGTATTATATTCATAGGATGAAGAAGTATATAGACTACTTCTTGTACAGGTCAGTAAACATATCCCGGTTGAGGGGAAAGGGATTGTTAGTAATAGATACTGAGGATCCCATTGCTAGCAATATACCCAACTAGATCGACCTTCTCGCGGAAACTATCATGGTTAATTCTTGATGAATTCATCATGATGGGCTAACTAACCTATTTTCATTCTCATCTATCACCCTTCACTGGTGCTCCGCCAGCGTATCTCGTTAGCGCATGCGGGGTTATCATTCCATTTTCATCCATAAAAAAAATACCCTCGGTCAGGTAGATTTAGTGTTTTACAACATATTTTTGTCATGAAATACTATATACCTACATTATGAGTATGCGAGTGTTGCGTTTTCCACAAGCGCAATAGACGACAAATGCCTCTGACTACCCCATCGGGGATTAACTTTACTGATAAAAAAAAAACGTTTATTGGAAAGGGGCGCCCATGCATGTAAACAGAGGGCTAAAAACTTCTACTTAATCTTGTGGGGTGTGATATGTAAATGCCTTTTGAATAAATAATGCATTTTTATATTTCATACATGTATTTTCCTTAATAACAAATTTTCTGTTCTGTTATGCAAATTTTTAGTTCTATGCTTGCAACAAAATTGGCGGCGCGTGCGATAAACTGTAACAATATTATTTCTAGAACCCTTCAATACAACAGTTTAAATATAGATTGTAAACATTAACATGGCACGCTCCCCCAACTTTTACTTCAATGTATGCATGGCCATTATCCTTAAAAAAATTGCATATACGATTGGGAAAGTCCTGATCACCCCATTGTCCAGTTTGTAATACCATCGATGATGTACAGCGATGTATAGTGTTAAAGTGTCGTATACACTCGAAGGAAATACTCGTAGAATTCATTTTAACCTAAACAAATTAAATATTGGTCCTATTCAATCTATATTAGCTGAACCCAAATCAGAATTTTTTGAACATCTCTCTAAATTATTGATACCCATTAATTCCTCTCTTTCCGTGTCTTAAAATGTAGATAAAACTTTATTTGAGAAATTATTTCAAGGTACGATAGGGCTGGTACACCTGAAGAAGATAAAAGCCGTTAAAATAAAAAATATATATATGTAACTATATACAGACATGGTGTCCTGTTTGTGTTTGCGATGAAACATCTTTAGTAGCGGTCCAGCTAAAGATTATTAGATGCCTTGTAAATATTTTTACCCAAATTTTTTAATTCTTTGGATTTTAGAGGGACGAGGGGGCATATTATCGTAAACAATTTATAATAGCGTTTTACTGATATTACTTGTTCATTTTTTTATTTCTCAAATTACAAACGACCCAGCTCTATATGCAACAGATATTAAAATACAAGTAGGAGATACTCACTTTTGAAAATAACAGAAAATCCCAATGGATTGATGATTGGTGAAGATCAACCAGTAAAAGCGAAGGGAAATAGCCGCCTTACACAAATCGTACGATTCATTTCAAATAACCCGCCGAATTAAATAGGCATCTCGTGCTGAAGGCGTAATATCAACGAACTAGTACATCTTTAGCGGTGGATTATACAAAATGAATCGTATTTTTAAACACCCACCCATTCTCCCCAGGAAATATCAGTACCGAGATTATAAATATGGGGTTTATTTCTAGATTTGCAGAGTGTATTATGCTTTATACCCGTAGTGGTTTCTATAGGTATACCAGAGATGAAAATAAATAATGACATTTTTACACTATTATCAGACGAGGAATAAAAGATTAATACATTTTAAAATATATATATATATATATATATATATATATATATATATATATATATATATATATATATATATATATATATATGAGGCAACTAGTGGCAAAACCCCGATTACTGGGTAGACCCATTTTTAAAAGTTTTTAAAAAGCTTTTTTTTAACCACCCATTGTTTATAAG